AACAGAAATCGATCGTTTGAACCCATCCGGTAGTTCCAGCGTCAAAGAAGCTAAGACACTTTTTCTCCGCATTTTACTCAGCTTTGATTTCAGCCTCCTTGCGCTGCATCCTTTAAGATAAACGGAACAACCGTTCCGCGCGTTTTACCTCGATTTCCTCCATCTGGCTCTCTTGCGCATCCCTGACAGCCCTGAGCTCGTCCGCGCTCATTCCTTTGTAGCGGGAGGCCAGCGGCTTGTGCGGTCCACGAGTGCTGTTCGCCTGCTCTTTGGCTTCCGTCAGGAAGTCCCCAGTCACGTGATTGTAGATTTCCGCCTTCTTGTCCTCTTCGTCTTGAAGGGCTTCGCAGCGACGGCGACGCTCTTGCTCCTCCGCCTGTACGCCGCGTGCAGGAACGAGAGGGGGAGAAAGAGAGCTTTTCGGTCATTCGACTCGTAACACGCGCGTTCAAGAAGGCGTGACACCACGAGGAGCGTACAGAAAAAAAATGTCAAGGACGGGAACGCGTGGAAAGAGACGGAGGAACGGCATTGCGATTGTACGGTCCGTGTTATTACCGAGTCCCGCGCACGGTGACGTCACCGGGCTCGCTCGTCGACCATAGGAACCTTGTACTTCGCTGAAAACGGCGTTCACCTTCGAGGAAAGTTTATGGGAACTGAATATCCCGCGATCGTAAGGGTAAACACGGTTTATTTACGATTCGGGGATCCGGTTGCCACCTTTTCGTGTTGCGAAAGTTACGGGGTATCGGCGGAGGAACGTGGGCCGGTTACGGTGGACGTAAATTCAATTGTTGGCTGAAAGCTACCGAGGTGTTAACCTCTATGTTCCGGTTAGCTACATCGAGGACGTATGCGTCCATTATCTGGTTCAAACACCCAACTTTAATTCCAGTTTTGCACTTTAGCGAAGCTGATCCTTAGGGATAAACGATTTATCCGTATAAGTGACCATTTCCGCTGAACTTTTTAGGAAGAAGGAAAATAGGCGGTGTCTGTACCAAATGATATAGGATTCTATGGCGCCAAAACTTTACGTCGTTAGCGTGGATATGTAGTAATTAGAAAAGTTTCTATACGAGAGAAATTGTCTCTTATAATTGGCGATCCTGAAAAGTCCTTCCTCTGGCCATTTCGGCGTTAAATGTTGCCATTGCCACGTGGGATCCTCGTTGATGATAAATTAGCATAAGAATCAGCGCTGTCCTTCCAGTAGCGGAGTTCACGTTTAAAAATAGAACAATCTGAATTCATCCGGTTCAAGGCAATTCGTTTCCGAAGCCAGGAAAAACGCCGGAGCGTTGGGTACGTATCTAGGACTCGGGAACACTCCTCGACCTCTACGGGCCCGTGGTTGCCAGAAAAAGAAAAAAAGGTGAGAATCGCGTGCATTCGAAGCGAGAAGCATATCGAGAATCCATGCGCCGTTGAACCCTGACATTTCACGGCTGCTTGCCGGCAGGGAGAGCTAACGAGAGAGGACTTTAAATCAATTAATGCGACGGAGGACCGGCCGGAGGACCGTTAATTATCTGAATTCTCACTTTCTCGTCGATCGCGAATATCAACGATCCGCGGAGCCAGGAGCGGAACAGCTGGATCGCTCGGACCGGGAACGAGCGCGATGTTTCCGTCCCGCTCGGCGGGAAAATAGAATTGTCAGATAATAAGATCCTTATCTATCCCCCACGGTTCCTGTCGCTTTGTTTTCTTCGCCGTTCCGGCGAAGGACTCTAAATAGGAGAAAGCCTTACCAGGGCTCGATTGAATCTTGCGGTGGCTTCGTTCAACCTTCGACGGCATTCACGTTCCATCTGATCTAACGCCGCGGCACGCTTGTCCCTGGAGATGACGGCTTCCTGGTACGCTTTCTCGGCTTCCTGGCGGTCTCTCTCGATCTTCACACGCTCCTCCATCTGCTTCTCGATCCAGTACCGCGTCTCCTCCTTTCGCGCCTTCAGTCGTTCCCTGGAGTCGGCCTGATCGCCCCCGAATCTGTATAGCCCGATGATCAAATATTTAATGTCGCTTTCCCTACTCTCTTCCTTGTTCGATGTTCCACGTACTATCGCAAAAAAGGCAATTGCCGGTGACAATATTTACCTCTGCGCGGAACCCAATCCGAAGTTCCGATCGTCATCGCCCAGTCCTGATTGTTTCGAAACAATTTTATCGCAGATGTCAGAATCCCTGTCCTCCTGCCGCTGGTAGTTCCGGCGAAAATTCTCGATCTCGACATTGATCTTTCGCCTTTCCTGCAACGTCGAGAATATGAAATAACCGCGGCTCGCTGGAAGAACGTACGAGAAACAATAGGGAAGATAACGCTGAGGCAGGGTCCGGAATCTTGAACGATGACACCGCGAAAGACGATTAATCATCCGACCAGTCGTGTCTTATTTTTTTCTCCTCGTTTCTTTTCCGCGTCGCGTAATTGACGGTTTTACCTCTTCTTGTTGCCTCTCGAGGAGCAAGGCGAGGTTGCTGCTGCGAATCAAATTCTCGTCGAGCTCGGATTCCCTGGCCTGTTCCAGCTGCCGTTGCTGCTTCTTTTCCTCGACCTGTTTGTCCAAGAATTCCTTGTCTATCTGCGGACAGTACGGGCAAAAATCACTGGCGCTGGATCTCGGACGCTATCGCGTCGTTCTTTCGCGTGCCGGATACGCGTTCCGACGTCGATAGATATATAACAGGTTGACGAGCGGTTCAACCGTCCCGGCTGGACACGCGTCCGCCTGGCCGCTCACCCCGATCTTTCTGAACCGCGGATTAAAGATTCGCTGTTTCCTCTCGGCGTCGATCTGCCGACGCCGCTGAATGGACGCGGCCAGCTTCAGGTCCTCCTTCGTCGCGGTTTGGAACTTCAGCATCGTGCCAGAATGCGATTCGCCTGTTAAAACGAACGTGACCGCGGCTGGTGCGAGTTTGGCCGCGAATACCGGCGTGACGCGAATCGAGTGAAATTCGTTGCCATGGAGTGTTTGGGCGATAAACGACACACCGAATCGTAAACCTCGAACACGTTCGAGGGTTAGCGAAAGTTGTTCTTCCAGTACTTATCGATTCTATCCATTTAGGATGTGGTAAACTAACGAGAAGTGTATCAAGTATGTAGCTTCTTTTCTCGTAAATCAGGCATTCCACTTGCTTCGCAGACGATAAAGTGTAATTGTAATAAAGTGTACTTTATCTGCCGATCGGTATTTAATAATTCTGGAATTAATAAGGGAAGCTTATCTTTCTCTCTGTACTCTCATTCGAAGCACAGTCTGCTCGCAATCTTTTTCCTTACCCAAGACAAAGAGAAGTCAGCTCGAAGATCGCCAAACTCGGTCACTCGAACTCTGTCACCGCATACCGTTAGCCTGACTATTCACCGGTCCGTGCTTAATCCGATTCCTTTCTTTTTCACGTTACGTAGATCTTATCCAGAGCCGATGAGCTCATCGCCTACTCGACGTACGCGTATACTCGGTGAGCAATTATTCAACTGCGGGGAACAGGACATATGCATGACAGTGTCACGTGAAGAACAGCTGTTAAAGGCGTAAACATGTGCTGCACTATCTGTTGATTCGGCGAAAGTCATTACGCGTGACTGACACGAGTTCCCGTGTTATCGCGTCCAGGCGCGTGCACTGATCGCGTGTAATTGTGACGGCCGGTCTGGCCCAGACCGGGAATAAAAGGAACAGAACGGATTTCTTATCGTTCCCCTGTTTCTTTGTACATGCGTTTATTTGACGTATTTACTGCCACGGTGATCACCGATGACCGACGCTATCGAGTTGTTTGAAAACAGTTACAAGGTGAATAACATTGAACGAGGTTTCTTTTAATGACTACGTGATAGGTTGATGAAAAAATAGTTGAATTGAAATTTTATTCGGTATCATTGAAGAACACGACTGGTAACGTTCAGTTTTTGGTCATTTATCTGAACAATAACGACGCCAGCTTTCAAAGGTGAAGATCCAAAGTGCATCATTGGTCCGCCATTGTTATCGATAACATTTGTCTCAGCAACAAATGAAACGAATAATACTCGCGCGAGACGTGCAAAATTAGCGCGGCAGTTAGCGTGTTCGCCGTGCTGTGAGTCAGACGGAGACGTCTTCGTTTTTGTAACAATGAGAACGCGGTAATGAGAACGGTACAGGAGCGTCGCTCACGTGCAAGCCACGGGTCTTGATAGTTTATTAAATATGCCGGGGTCGATTAGTTCATGCGAACCGCAGCAAGTTCAAATAAATGTCGCAGCAAGGTTTCGCAAGCTAGGTCTGTTTACAGCTTTTAACTGGACGCGATTAGAGGTAGTTTTGTTTATAGTCTTGATCGGTTACGTCGTAACCGTACCGACGAAGAGCGAATTAGTATTGAAAATGAGATGAAATAATGATGACCAATTATACGCGTATTCGTTCAAAGATCACCTCCTATGCAACGAATGGTATGTAAAGTTGAAAGATCGTTCGATGACTGAGCGGAGGATTGTGGATTTGATTGGTCGGTTTTTATCTCTTTTCATTTTGTTTTCGATGCTAATTTGCTGCTCGCCGATACAGTTACGTGTCATCGATCGAAAACATAAGCAAAACGCACAACGAAAGACTTCTCTTGCCTCGTGACGTCCAGCTAGACGAGTCATCTTCGCACGGTACATGCGCGAGAGATACATTTTAAGGAAGTAATACGCCTCGCTGCCTCGTTCATCGATCCGACACACATAGCAATTATGTATCGCTTCTTTCCTCGTTGAATTTCACTGTCGCGTTACTATTTCTGGAAAGTACAAAAAGAAAGGCGCTACCGAGGTTTCACTGATAGTTAACTGCTGAGATGTCACTACACAGCTGTAAGAACGGAATGTTCATGAATCTTTCTTTAGAATAAGCCTCCAGTTTCGATTCTACGTATGAGTTTCCGAAGAATAATTCAGTGTAGAATGACGAATGTTTTAATGAGAAGCTTCCAAAGTTACTATGGAAGATTCAATATTCTTTTCATTGTCATTTCAATATCGAATAACATTGCAATTTTCGATATTCATCGAAATATCCTAAGTTCGAGTTAACATTCAATTTTTGAATTGTGTTACCTTCGTTTTAACTTTGTGTTCGCACTTAGTAGTCGTAAGAGTCTTCCACCAGATGAAAATACACTTGTTTCCGCGTGACTTATGTTGGCTGAGCAATATGGCCGCCTGTTGGCTTTGTCGGGATCACTGAAGAGATAGTGCACGCGGCGAGGGAGCAACGTCTGTCAATCACAAAGGAAGGAGCCTCGAGTATAAAAATGCGGAGAAGGTCCGCGAAACTACCTGCGTACGTCGGGTTCAAGAAGGAATTTTTCGAACCGTTACATTCTGAGAAAGAATGACAGAAAAGGAACGAAACGAAATTGAGCAGTCACGCCTCCGAGGTCAGAAGTCATTAAGGGCTTCAGGCTCTCCTGATGATTCTCTGAAGATTATAAACCCTTTGCATTTTAGAGGTGACTCTTAGTCGCTACTTGATTTGACACAGTACCGTTATAAAGTTTAATGTTTAATATTGAACTTCGTATGATGCATCGCTATGTAAAACACTGAACTGAAATAGCTTTGTTCCTTAATTCATCTGTGAATTATCAAACTTTTAATTAAAATAGTTCGAACAGTTTCGATATACATCGTTTATATCTCGTTAGGCAATGTTGACTATTTCCAGCGAAGAAGCTTCGAGGGCAAAGGGTTAAACTTCATTAGGTGCACTTCAAAGACGAACGCCGATACGTGAAAGTCGGGGATCTCACTTTCAGTTACTTCGATTTTATGTATAAATCGTTGGAAAAGCGGAAGCGTTAGAACTTTCCACTGTTAAATCACGCGTTTTGCTTGCATAGGTACGGATAGCGTAGCCGGCTAATTTTTTCCCAATAAAAGCTATCGGAATTTATACACAACTTACCTGGTTTCGACTGCAACGGGTTGTGAATAATTCATGATCGTTAATACATATTGATGCATAAAATTACCATACGATACGACCGGAAGTGGTTGTAACGACAATCTAACTTAATTGTCCTTCGAATTTCGAGAACGTCTCTCGTAATTCTTGTTTTCGATTCGTAAATTCATGGAATTCTTGATAATCTTGTCACTCGATGAATCTAAAATCGTGACAAGATTATTTAAAGCAAGGTACGCAATGTCGTTCCGAGACGAGCGTCGATTCCACTTGAAAACTGTCTGACGTATTACACCACTCGGTTCGAGCATGGTTCACTATCTGACCGATTATTTGCTCACCGCTATCGAGCAATGTCAAATAATGTTTACACGATTGATGATTCGTCCGAACCTCGTGATCTTCCCGTTAGCAATTCGTCTATTAATCGATAAAATACGTTAACAGTCCCCGATCAAATGAACAGATACATTATTCCCCAACCCATACCGTTCATACAAAATACAAAATTTTCAAAATTCAGGGGACAACGATCAAATCAACGAAACTAATCAGTACGCATCCATCGCCAGAATAAATATGCGTAATACCCGAGCACCTCTGTTTACATAACAGACCAGCAATCGCGCAATTAAACGGAAAGAAAAAGCAATCGAACTGTTTATCCGCGAAAATACGTTCGCAGGACGGTAAGAAACCGAGCCGATTGCGTAAGAAATTGAATCGAAGTCGCGTTTAAAAAATTGCTCCGATATCGCTCCGTCCCCACTCGTCTCGGAATACGCAGCAGGCTTATGCTCGAAGCGCATCGCGTGCGCGCGTACGTGCGAGCGCACGGTGCGGATGCACGGGAAGAGGATCGAAAAAGCAATCGCGTCGTATTACTTCGACGACGGTCAACGGATTGGCCGGCGACGCGAAACGACCGCGGACAGGTGTAAAATTTTCTAGCCGCGGTTTAGAAGGAATCCGCGGTGAAATTCGCGGAAAAGCGCGCTTCTGGTTTTCGCGGTATCGCGGCTCGCGCGGCCGACCCAGAGAAGTTGCCCCGAAGCGAAGCGAGACTCGACGGCGCCTGCGTAGCCATGTGACGTCATTGGCGAACCGGGCAGCTCGTTCGCTAGACATTCAGTCTCGCCTCAACGTCGAAGGAGGTTGTACCAGCGGCGTACGTTGCTCGGCCAAGTAGTATCACGGAAGTGGTCAGACATTGAGGGAGTCGACGGTCGTCGCGTTCAATCGTTTCCGTACCCGTACAACGGAACGATATCAAAGCAGAATAAGAAAGTGCGCGACACACGTCAATAATCGCTGCCGATCGTTAAAAGGATCGCGAGTACAACGATCCAAGACTGTCCACATAAAAGAGTCTCGAGAAGAAGAAGAAGAAGAAGAAGAAGAGGAGGAAGAAGAGTAAGAAGCAAACAGTGCAAAAGAGAGAAAGGGAACTCGACTCTCTCCGCCGTTTATACGAGCGATTAGCACGCGAACCGCGCGTTTTTCTTTCCAGTTACGTCGAAGCGAGCCCGCGCGTCAGTCCGGGTGTACGTGAATCCTCGCGTCATACCGATTTAATTAACGTCCCGTCGAGAAACACGTGTCGAGCGGAGTGTGTATACCTCGG